GACACTGTAAATAATGGCCAATAGGAAATAAAATGCGAATTATGTGAAGAGTCTGAAAACATACCATTTTACATTCGAGATAATATTTGGGATATTCTTGTGAATATCCTAACAGGTATTCAGTTTAGTACCGCTTCCAGCCAAACAAGTTGATGAAGCCTAGTAGGACATTCTGGAGAAGAGGCTACATTGAAGCACGGCACAACTACCGCAGCTTAATAGTTGTTTTTGCATTATTTGTTGTCTTTGGTTATACTTCCTGTTCGGTGATTACTGACCACCTATGTACTACATAGCAGTGATTAATTATACCTTTTTTAGTTGGTAGTTTCTTATTGCAACCAGGGTATGAACATTTATTTTGGTTATTTTGGGAGTTATTTTTATTTATTTTAGTTTTAGCTTCAGTTTTGGTTTGATTGTATTGTGGATGATAAGATTGAATATGTTTATTTAACCAACCCAACGTCTTATATGTCTTGTTACAGTCATTTAGTGTACAGTTACATAGGTTTTCATTAGTAGTTTTATTGAGGTGATCATTTCTATAGTGTCTGTTCATTTCCTTAATTGTGGCGAACATTCTATTGCAGTTTATAATTTGGCATATATGCTTAAGTTGATGTTTTCCTATTATTTTCAGGAAATGCTCTTGATATGCGTTTGTTTTAATCTTGTTGCGTTGATTTATCCAGTTACTATGATGGCGTTCACTCATTTCCTTAATGTCTTGAAATAGCTGTCTTAACCAGTTTTTAGTATGGGCCTTCCTATTATTACTCGGGTTTTCAAAGTTACTATTTAGGGACCTCACCATTAGGCTATTTGGTCTTTTGTGTGCTACATTCCATAAATTTAGCCTGGTTCGCAAGATTTTATTAGCTAAGTTTGGTAAGTTTAAGTTTAAGTTGTTCAACAGTGAGTTGTTTTTTATCATTTATATCTAAAATTATTCGTCTGATTGTGTTTAGTACCGATTCTAGCCTAGACCAGTCCTGTTGCCTTATTCAGTCTATTTTCCCTTCCAGCCATATAGATTGGTGAAGCCTAGTATACCTTTCTGGAGAGGAGTGCTACATTGAAGCACGGCACAACTGCCGGGATGGGATAGCTGTTTTTGCACTGATTACGCAGAATCATTACATAGCACTCACAACCCTTTTTTTTACCTTTTTTTTGTTATTTGGGCAGACTCATTGTTTTTACTACTCTTTTGAACCGTCAATAGTTATGCAATGACTTTATGTAGTATTCGTAATTGTTTTCGGGTATTGATTAGGTCGATCTCCACCACCCTCGATTAACCGCTCACGCTAGTTCATGGAAACCGTCCCTTGATCCAGGAGGCACGACGAGGACGTGTGAGTCGGGTTTTGCTGTGTTTAGTACCGATTCTAGCCTAGACCAGTCCAGTTTCTTTATCCAGCCTATTAAATTTATTTACACCCTTGCTATACTAAACGAATATGTCTTTCAACCAAACCCTTTCATGTAAGTGATTTAAACCCCATTATGTAATTGTGATTTTAAAGATCACAGGTTGTAAGCAGCTGACAAGAACCAACGAAACAAAACAAATTTTAAACTATTCTGCTAGAATCTTTGTTCTTACTCTTTTCAAAATGATAGAAAGAACTATGTGTATGCAATTTCATCTTCGCCTAATCGTTGTTACTTACATATTCACTAATAGGAGGAAACTACCGTCCAATGCTCCCTGGTTTTTCATGGTGATCTAGCTTCAATTGACTCACGCTTTCAACTATGAAAATACTAAATCTCCACAAAAAACCCTTCTGATAATAACAACCATATGCTAATTAGTGATTGACTTCGAGAGGTAAATCCAGAAGTTCTAGTGAGAAGCAGTGAACAGTGGAGTTCAACGAAATCTGTTGTGAGATAGGAACTCACTGAAGACAATTGGTGAACGGTTGCTCAATTTCGTGGATTGGTTGGAGTTAGACATAAACATGGGATGCCGGCTCAGTGGTCTATTGGTTAAGTGCTCTGTCGCGAGACTGGTAGCTCCTGGGTTTGAGTCTCACGAGTTCAGATCGTGGATGCGCACTGCTGAGGGATCCCATAATAGGATGAAACGACCGTCCAGTGCTTCTAGGTTTTCCTTGGTGGTCTAGCTTCAATTGACTCACTCTTTCAACTATGAAAATATAATTTATTCATTCATATATTTATTAGAACTGTTCTATTCACTTGATTGACAAAAGGAATTAAGTTTAATTGTTTCACTGGATAAAATTCAATAATCAATGTTTATGAGATTATTATTTCTTTTTAAAATTACTTACTTCCGTTCTACTGCCTGTGTTGTCATGATATATTCATGATATCTGATAAATAATACGTTTTATATGGTAATAAGTCATTTAGAATGTTCATTATGTTTCATTGTATTGCTGTGAACAAAACATTAGTTGGTACAACCGAATGTATCTAAGCAAAGAATCCCACTAAATTCTGATAACCATACAACAAACAGTTAATTTGCAAAATAACAACCAATTGTTTGTTCTCTGAGCTGGATGTTTGGACAACTACGGACATACGTTCGACTGGGAAAATGTGCAGATTTTGGACAGAGGCAATTCCAAAAATACCAGAGAATTTATAGAAGCTTGGCACTCAGGTCAATCAGCAATAAACAAACATATTGAAATCAATCCAATCTACCAACCAATCAAGAAAATCATGCAGGAACATAGGAACAAATATCCAACCAATAGGAGATACAACCAAAACAAACAAATAAACTATGACAGATTTAAGGTCAATAAGAATCAATCAACATTGAGGTGCAGAGGAGAAGCTGTTAATCAAATGTGGAGAAATTCAAACACTTCATTTCTACCAGAAGTTTGTGCTGATGATGTCGTTCAGAAGATTGATGAAAGCTCCACGACCAAACCATCCAGCTCAGAGAACAAAACAACATCAAAATCACCCACCTGAGCTACAAATCTTCTCCACCATATCAACAACTAATTCTTTCAAGCTTTACTGTTCCTTCTGTAAATATTAATCCATCTTCTCTAATTTCATTATTTATGCATTTTCCCACAAATTGCGCTTCATTTCAATTCGTTCCTTATCGGTCTTTTGCCAAAATACATTCTACGTCTGACAATCGCCATATACTACTTATATGGATATAAGTAGACCACACTACAGTATAACTTAAAATTTTATTAAAGTTTTCCAAATTTGTGGATTAGTAGTTAGTTAGATATTTCAATTTTTACTGTGATTTATAAATGATGACAGGGATTCCAGTGATAATTATACATATTGAAAGAGACCCATTGTGTCATTGAAGAAGAAAGAAAGCAGTTTAGCGAAGAAAATTTTTTTCGACGATTTCCTTCGCCCTAAGTTATATAATCGTATTTATAGCTAATACTAGTTGCTGAAATAGTGTTCTATAGTAAGATGGAAAAGTGTTAATTATTTAAAAGAATTTGAAGTAGTATGATGTCAGGATTTGAAAATCAAATACTGAAAAGAAGCTAAGTGATAATTGGCTGGTGAACAGGGCTAAGGTGAAGATAATTCTTCACTTGATATCTGGTAAGAACGGAATAAGTTGTGATAATTGATAAATAATAGTTGTGAAAATAATCGGAAAACATTAACATTAATGAAATAGAAATAAAAATCATAAATTATGGAAATGGACATTAAGACCATGGAAGAATGAGGGATTGAACATATCGTTTTCGTATGCAAAGGTGAAGCTTGAAGTAGTGAACAGCAATAGCCTCTGCCGTACATAGGTTTTTCACTTGCATTCTTTTTGAGAAGACTTTTTATACTGTGTGAGTGTGTTTTTGAAGAAAGCCTCTGGTGAATTGGATTGGCCGATATTGACTAAATGCTTCAAGATTGAGCTTTTGAATGACTTCTGTAATGTTTTGGAGAGTCAGTCAGGATAATGTTCAGAGGTAAGTTCCGAAAGAGCTCGTTTTGTGAGGTCAATATAACTACTCCATATATGTAAGTAAACTGTATTTATAAGCTTGCAATGCTAAATGTTTACACAAAATAAATGCATTACCAAATGATCTTTTTACAATTCGTCATTATAAAAAAGTAGGTGATAAGTTATTATACACCGGTCGTTAAAAACCGAGGCAAATTGAACATAATTTAGAACTTCTCATCAATCGTTGACAGAAACCGTTTTCAGACTAAATAGCTCCACATAAACTATTATGGAAAAAACAATAACTATGTATTCATTAAATTAATTTAGTATTGTTTGTTTGAATCTTTACATTGATGTGTTTAGGACTGCAACTGGTCAGTCTCTAATTGGCATATGTGCATACTGTGCGTATTGCCTCGATATACCTTAATTCACAAGCATGGTTAGCAGAGATGGATAGTGGCTAGCAGTGGAATCCAGTTTGACGCGCGTTTCGTCCTATTTGGGACTCGCCAGTTGGATGTACCTGCATCTCAGCGTTGATGTTCACTCTGGGAAGATTCGAACAAACAATACTGAATGAATTTAAACTTCATCCCATTGCACATGCAAGTGGCTATCAAGACTCAGTAGTTGAATGGATAACGCGATGGCGTTTGAAGCGAATGGTATTGGGTTCGAGTCCCACACTGAACAACAACTCTAGGATGCAGGTACATCCAGCTGACGAGTCCCAAGAACGAAACGTGCATCCTGGATTCCACTGCTAGCCACTATCCATCTTTGCTTACTATGTATTCATTAACTACTGAATTTAAGATAATCTTTAAGATTTTAGTAAGATGTGTTTAGTGGAGTAAAACAATTCACATCCTAACTAGCTGTTAAACGTTCATGTTGACTGCCTGAAAGTTTAAAGTATGAGCCACTGGACTTCAAACGAATAACTAACCGAATGAATTATTTCCACCGTGACGTCTGAACGTCATGAGTTCGCTAATATCTCTCTCTCTCAATATTATTATAGTTTAGTTTATTTGAACAATGAGAAGAACCCTTGAAATCAATGAAATTTTATATATATATATATATAAATATGTATATTACAAAATAGTTGTATTATTTTGATATTCCAACGGTATTTTCAATGCATAATATAGTATATTTATAAGTTTATGGAAAGCTTAAAGAAACATTGAAACTATATATAATCTTAGTACCAATGGAAACAAACTATTATCATTGCCTGGTAGGTGTGAAATGATTGTTTTCTATGTGTTAGTATATGTATATATGTAAGTGTTTTGATTGAATCTGCCAACTAAGGTAAAAGAAAACAACAAAAATAAAATCAGAGGGGAGAAAAAAAACAACAAACCAGAATTGAATGAGATCAAAAGGGACTGGAAACCAAAATTTTTTTTCTCTTTTCTTTTAAAAAAAATAATAAAGCCTAATGAATCATTGTATAATTTTTGGATCAAAAGCATAAAGGATAGGTGTAATTTCCCCTTTATAGAATCATATTACTCAAAAGGATATGTAAAGTAGAGTTACCTACATGAATTAATAAACTTAATGATTTGTATATGAATAATATTGGAGAAGAGATAAACAAGGAGAAAAGGAGGTGTATGTATGTGATAGTACACAAACTAAGTGAAGATATATATGTGAAAAGAATAATAGATTTCTGTAGTTGGGTGTAGAGGTATTCATAATGTTAGTTTCCATGTTTATTATTTGTTACATTGCACAATTGTTGTACAGTAACAGAAAATTGAAGTATATATGTATATATGTAAGTGAGTGAATGAAGTAATCAGTAGAAAAATATGCAAATAATATTTGATTTTTGAATTTTATATGTCTGCGTTGAATTTATGTTGCCCAAGTTCGTCGAACTACACCATCTTCATGTTCACTAATATCACTATATGAAGCTGTTTCTTGATCATGTATATATTCAATAAAATTATTAGTTTTTAATTGTGATGTAACAGTTAAACCACCGGATGCAAAACTACCAACACTTTCTTTATGTATTGTTGATAAATTACGTACAGTTGATGGTGGTTTACGCATAACACTTGGATGTAGTTTATATTTACGATCAAGCTAAAAATACAACATAAAATATGATTAGTATTATTAAAATAAATTCTTAAACTAAATAATAATTTTCATAGTTGAAATCATGAGTCCATTGAAGCTAGACCACTATGGAAAATTTGAAAGCACTGGATGGCCGTTTTGTCCTATTATAAGACTCCTCAACAGTGCGCATCCACGATTCCTTGAGTTGTAATGAGAAGCAGTGACCAGTGGAATTTAACCAAGTCTGTTGTAGAGATATCAACTCACTGAAGACAATTGATGAACGGTTGCTCAAACATCGTGGATTGGTTGAATTTAGACATTAACACCATTCGATGCCGGTCGGCTCAGTGGTTTATCGGTTAAGTGCTCTGTCGCGAGACTGATAGATCCTAGGTTCGAATCTCGCGAGTGCAGGATCGTGGATACGCACTGATGGGGAGTCCCACAATAAGACGAAACGGCCATCCAGTGCTTCCAGGTTTTTCATGGTGATCTAGCTTCAATTTACTCATGATTTCAACTATGAAAATACTGAAATCTTCACAAAATCCCTTCTGATCTATGAATAATAATTGTTTATTGATTGGAAACAACAGATAAATAAACTCTGATCTTAGATTTCATGTTCTTGATCAATGAACATTTAATTGTAAATAAGAATAATTTCCGAAGATTTGATTTCGTTGTACAATCACATAAACATAAGTCATTCAATTAAGACAACAATACGAGAAATAAATCGATTTTCTTGACTTGAAGATATCATCAGGATACAGAGAAATGATATTCAGTCTTTTGAAATGTATATTATTTACACAAATAGAATTATAAACGAAATAACTTTATTCAGATAACCAGTTATGTTAAAAACCTAAATTATATATTGTAAGCAAAGATGGATAGTGGCTAGCAGTGAAATCCAGGACGTGCGTTTCGTCCTATTTGGGACTCGTCACTTAAATGTACCTTACAATGCTTATGAATTAAGACTATATAAAGGCAATACGCACAGTATGCATATATGCCAATAAGAGACTGACCAGTTGCAGTCCTAACACATCAATGGGAAGATTCAAACAAGTAATATTAAGTGAATCTAAATTATAAATGTTAATACTTAAGTTTTTATTCCGATTGACTGAAAATAGTAAATTTAGGCTTTATTTATAGACTAAAGATTGAAATTGAGAAGAGGATTATTATGTGGGTATTTTTAATGCGGTAATCAATTCACTTTACTCGTAGAATACATCTATCAGTTTGAAATTGTCTAAGGTAGTATTTAGTGGATTTCATATACAGAATTTTTCATAAATAATCAGCACTAACAAAATCAAAAAAATAACTTTTGAATATCAATCAGAAACTCATTGGCAATGTATTACAATAACTAGTATGTTATAGTGTAATGAATGAGAAAACGGGTGGGGACAATCAAATGTATTTTAGCACAAAATTATAGAATATCTCATTAAAATATGAGAATCATATAGTGAACAGTTAATTTGCAAAATAACAATCCATCGTCTCAAACTTGACTGTTCCTCTTGGAAATATCAGTTTATCGTCGCCGATTACTATTGTTCATGCATTTTCGTGCCAATTGCGTTCCGTTCCCGTTCTCTTTTTAACGATCTTCTACTGAAATACATTCAATGCCAGACCATCCCCATATAATAATTATGTGGATATCAGTAAACCACACCACAATGGTACAGATATATGAAATAATAGATTCCAAGTTAAGTACTTTCTACATTCTTACATAATATTTGGTCAATAAATCTTAAGAGAGAATCATAAATGTATTATACTACGGTTGTGTAAAATCCATCCGGAAAGGTGAAGTGATCTTGATTATTATGGTCCTAATAGCAATCAAAATATTATGCAAATTAAAAGCCATTTCAATATCTAATTACATATTTAATAGGACTAGTGAAAAAGAGAGGGAAAAAGCAGATTTATCGACGAAATTCGAAGTAAAATTCCTTTGTATGGAAACGATATTAATCACATCGACAAGAATGAGGTGATCGAACTCAAACAAATGCGTTTGTTTAAATTAAACCGTTAATTGGTTTATTATTATTACTAACGGCTTTATTCAGAAACAGTTAGCCCAGGTATTCAATCAGGCCGCCAGAATTAAATACATATTTATAGACTTAAAATGCAATGATGCACAAATGTACATAAGAAAACAAAATTTTATTACAATCACATTATACTGTTTTCTTGGTCAAAAGAAAAGCAAAACATCAGCTGTTTATGCCAATCAATAATGATAGTATTACAGCAACTAATAGTATACATACTGTTTATTTTCATTATTTGATTTACCAATTATTATTAAACTCTATCCATCAGTAATTAGTCAATTAATAATTCAGATGGACTACGTAGAAGTCTATTATTCCTATGTAAACATGATGTTTTCATTTTTTTTCCAGATATGAAAAAGTAGACTAATTTTGTTTGTAGCAAAATAGCCAAAATAAGAACTAGGATTCTATGAAATTTATTATCTAATGTTCAACATATTACTGTTATCATGGTTATGCAACTTGAAAAATAAATATACATACATTATGTAATTTATATACACTAAAGATTTAGTCTAAGTAAATGAGATCAACAGAAAAACTGTTTAATGAATGATATTACGAGACATGGAATGATCTAAATTCATTTATTATTGTTTGTTTGAATATTCTCATTAATGTTTAAGACTTCAACTGATCAGTCTCTTATTGGCAATTGTGTATATTGTCTCTATATAGTCTTCATTCATAAACGTTCTAAGCAGTAGCTGAGTGCATAACGTAATGGCGTTCGAAGTGAATAGTACTGGGTTTGAATGCCAAAATGTATAATAACTGTGAAATGCAAGTACATCCAGCTGACGACTCTCAAATAGGATTATACGTACGTCCTGGATTTCACTACTAGCCACTGTCCATCTTAGCTTAATCAATTATTTTGTAAACTATCAGTGTAATGTATATTTATATATAAATCTATATGTAAGATGTATCATGAAACAATAATATACAACAGTCATGAGCTCAAATTACGAGTCAAATTAAAGTGTGAATAATTTGAAGAATGTAAATTTATTGTTGAAGATTGATTCTCAAAACTCCTGATCATCTTCTACTTAATTGAAATAAACAATCAATAGTGTTCAATTGTTGTTTTTTTTATTTATTTATTATTTACAATAATAATAAAATTAATTCAGATAAAAGAAGGCCTATGCTCCTCCACAAGGGGTAACAGGCGTAAGTAAGTAAGTAAGTAAGTAAGTAAGTAAAAAGAATTAACATAAAAAAATCTTTCCATATGGGGTATTGTATATCAAATAGAAAAATTCATTCACTTTTATTACCGAGAATAACTTCAGACTATATATGTCAATAAACATTTTTTTTTAATAAAAATATTAAGTTAACTTAGTAATACATTTTCATTAAACACATCTAATACCATTTCATACTTTCATTGTTTTAATTTATCTGATTAGATTATTATTATTATCATAGAGTATTAGTATCATAAAATAAAAATCGTTTCTTTTCCATTAAGTGGAAATACGTATATATAATAATTAAGCTAAATTTATGTTGTAAAATAAAAAAAATACTCAATTTAGAATCCGTTGCTAAGAGGTCTTAAATAACAACAAGGAACAGTTCAGTGATGTAAAAATTCATCTAAAATGTTTGATAAAAAAACAAACAAACATAATCATTACTGAGGAATATTTAATCTATATAGAATGAAATAAATAAATTTTACTGATTTATTAATAATAAAAAAAAAATACTGATTTGGTCTAGGATACCAAATTTGAATGTTTCTTTAAGAGCATGAATTCTATTTGAAGTAAATTACAATTTTACTTACATGGGTCATAAACCATATAGTATTCTTGAAATAGATTATCTTCATAAAATAGAATTTACGGGTCTTTCCATTATTATTTATACTAGTGAAATTTTGATGGTACGAGCAAATATAGTCCGTTGTTATTGACAATATATCAGTAAACGTTAAGATGATATTAAAACCAGAATCATCCTATAGACATTATTGCAAAGGATTGATTTGATGATTTCGATTAAATTGAGCATTGCGTGGATTGTTATAAATAAAATAATATACATATGTAATATCGTAATGGGTAGGAAAATTAGATTTTCTGACGTTTCGTGACTCAATGTAAGACACTTCTTCAGAGAATAAATAACCAAATCAAAATTAATCCAAGTTTAAGTAGTACAAAGGAACACTATGATTATACATACAAAGTAAACTCTATCCTATCATGTCGCTTATAAATCACCTTGACCGAAATGACAAGACACTGACTAGTTCAGATATGTTTTTTGATTAATCGCACATAATATTCTTGTGTTGTTCCTTTGTACTATTTCAATTTGGATTCATTTTGATTTGGTTATTTATTCTTTAAAGAAGTGGCTTACATTAAGTCACGAAACGTCAGAAAATCTTATTTTTCTACTCATTGGGATATTACAAATATATTATTTTATTTACAGAATAATTTTAGTTTCAGTACTACTGAAGCATGAAAATCTATTCTTTTATGGTTTGAGACTACTCATCGGTGCACATCTCTAGACTCCACCAGGCGTTAAACACAGAACCTTCAGCTCCTATGAAGATCGTTTTACCATGAGGCCACTTAGTTCGGAGGTAATTTATAAAGTCTGCTGAGGAATCCCATACCATAATGACACATTCAGCCTGCACTACCTCGTTTTCAGTGGTTCTCTAAATGGGAACAATCTGTGATGAATACCAAGTTAAAATTAATTAAACTTGGCTAAAAGTATTTGATAATACAAGCAGATTATTTGTTTGAAAACCTGTTCTTTTCTAAACCCTTATATTATATCCTAACCAAATTGTAAATAGAAAATTTCATTAAAATTATTAGACAATTTTGACATAGAGATAAATTTCGAGTTTTAAGATAAATGTTTTATAAGTATAAGCAAAGATGGATAGTGGCTAGTAGTGGAATCAAAGACTTGCGTTTTATCCTATTTGGGACTTATCAGCCGGATGTACCTGCATCTCAGAATTGATGTTCACTGTGGGACTCGAACCCAGTGCCTTTCGTTTCAAACGCCATCGCGTTATTCACTCAGCTGCTGATTCGTGATAGCCACTTACATGTGCGACGGGGTGAAGTGATTTCTATAAGTATATTTTTGGAAGATTTTAATAAATCAATCATTATTTTCAACGATTTTTGGTATAGTAAGCAGTGAAATCCAGGACGCGTGTTTCATCCTATTTAGGACTCGTCAGCTAGATGTACATTTTTGCTTGAAATGGTTGTGAATTAAGGCTATATCGAGGCAATACGTATAGTATGCACATATGCCAATTAGAAGCTGACCAATTGCAGTCCTAAACATCAATGAGAAGATTCAAACAAACAATACGAAGTGATTATTGGTCTGGTTGTTTATCACTATTCAAAATGAATTAAGTGAAAAAATGAAAAAAAAACTTCTAGAGGGATATGATTACGAAAAAATTTTATAGGGAAAGTAATTTTAATTAAAACTTGGTTAGAAAATTTAAATAAATTTTGAAAACTAGTCATCATGAAGGAAAGTATTTAGGAGGTTCTTTTTATGAACTGATCTAGTTAGTAAGTACTCAATAATTAAAATGTGTAATCATTATTATGTATCATTTCAAGTGCGATATCATCTAACCAAATATCTTGTTTATTGCATACCTTTATGATCCATAATTATCTGAACCATTTATTACTTTTGTCTAAAATTTCTACAATAGTCTTTATCAATCCAAATTCTATACAAATTTTTCGCCTCGAAAAGTCAACTAACATTTAATAAGACATTTGAGGTTACTTATTCAGTATTATTAATGTCAAGTCTCATAGGGACTGAAGAGTGAAATTTATTAGAATGTTTATTCAAAATTATTTATTTACAGTTAACTGATTTTACTACTACATAATTTGTACTTAAGACCTGAATTTTTGACCAACCTTTGAAAAATCTTTTCAGCAATGCAGTAATTGCTTGTGCAAACTAACTATAAGTACGGTTGTACAGTCTACGTAAGTGATATTGACGAAAAGAAAATCCTCTTCACTGTTCTGTTAAAAGTACTTTATTATTTCAGGTAAATTATTGTCTATGAATGTTATTTCCTTATTTGATTAGAACAAGTAATGTACGCTCTGGTCAAAAACCAATGTTTTCCATTTGACAAAACACTAGTTACTTCTAATCAAGTTAAAGAAAAGCTGAATTGCATGGGTAGGAAATGGACGAACATAAACCTAAATGACGGTAATATACTGATTAAAAATATGGGACAGATAATACAAACATTTTATACTTCGACTATACTTTATAAAACCAGACAAAAGTAAAATAACTGAGCATACTTGATGTAAATATAACGCCAACCATTCCCATTTAGGCAGTGCGAATTCACGAATAAGGCCATAGATGAGAATAACGATCGGAAAGATAAGCCCAACATAATTGGCTACTGTAAAATCAGAAATTATATTCAATGAAACTAGAATTAAAACAACTGCAGCTTGAATAAGTGAGAAGACAAGTATATGCCTACTGGGAAGACCACGAACACATTCCCAATCTTCCCAATGTTTTCGACGTTTCATTAAGGAGCATATCCTTAAAACAAATGTTAAATCTCTCAATCCCATTACGCCCATGTATAAAAACATTCCATAAAGTGCAGCCAATGGAATGTTGCTTAATATAGATCCAAGGAATATTGAAAGTGCAACAAGGATTCCCACAAATACACCGCTAACTCGTTGCTCTACTGTTCCCACAATCCTACAATGAAAAATAAATTCATATTAACATCCTCTTATCGCTTGTATCACACGCTTCAAACAATACTAGCTATCAACGCAAAAAAATTTATCAGCTGTATTGTAACAACGAAAAATTGTACAGCAACAATATGTAATCTCTTTATAGTGAAAATTTGGCTTTTAATATAAAAGATAATTATATAAAACATTCACAGAATATTGTATTTATTCACAATGTAAATAATACTACATTTTATTAAGATTACATCACACCAACTGTTCATCTCAGTTTCATATGTTAACCATGGTAGTCAGGACTAGCAACAGAAGAATTTCTATGGTTAGTTATGAAAGTATTTATGTTTAAGAGTTGTTGGGTTATAAATAAACGAAGATAGAAGTCGGATATATCGTAGATGAATTCGATTCAAGCAGACTGGTTGAATTTCTCTTGAAAAGAAAATTATGTCTTCTAAAAACCCTAACAGCATAGAACTAGTAATTAATTGAATTAATCAAGCTCTTATCCTGACCGTTGGAAAACCGCGTACATCATATCACGTTACAAATCCGGAGATAAGACTGACATGAACAACTATCGACCAATAAATATTACTCCAGTTATCTCTAGGATTATGGAAAAATTATTAGTGACGAACTATCTAACTATTTATTGACTGAACAATTTATTGATCATTCGCAACATGAATTTCTTAAAATTCGATCCTGTAGGACATGTCATTTTGACTTCTTTAAGTTAGTCTATTCGCTTCGTAGCCAAGGACATCTAGTATTAGTGCTATACCTGGACATTTCTAAGGCCTTCGACATGGTCAACCACCAACTTCTCATAGATAAACTCGCACCTTATGGGGTCCAAAACCCGTTACTAGCTTGATTTGATTCCTTCCTCAACAATCGACATCAAATAGTTAAAATCAACTCCTCATTGTCGAATGCCGTCCCTGTTAGAAGTGGGGTATTTCAGGGTAGTGTCTTAGGTCCTTTGCTCTTTTTAGTTTTCATTAATGATATTTGTGAGTGTTTTAGTGTGGGTAAGTCCATTTTGTATGCAGACGATCTTAAGGTGGTGTACTCATTTTCTCCACATGAGCTGAGCAATATTCAAAATTGTATCAGCACGGAGTGTAACAAGGTAGCACAGTGGTGCTCGAAATGGCAACTGGAGCTTAATACAGATAAATGTGGATGGTTATGCTTCGGTGATACATCACTCAACCTCGATCTTATCATAAATGGTGAAATGTCATCTAGGTTACACACAGTAGTAGATCTAGGACTTAAGTACTCCGATGACTTGTCGTTTACTGAACAGATAATGAAACAAACGTCCAAGTCTCAACGCCTTGTAGGTTACATAACTCGAAACCTTTATAACAGCGAATCTCGTATTCTAATGTACAAAGTCTGTGTTCGACCACTCCTCGAATACTGCGCGTTTCTCTTTAGCAGCACGCGCATAAAGGATAAATTAAGACTGGAATCAGTACAGAGACGATTTACACTTCGTACTCTTGGAACTGATAGTGACATATAATTCTAGGTGTATTAAACTAGGGTTTGACCTTTTATGGAAGAGGAGACTCAAACTTAACCTTATCTTCTTTTTCAAAATACTTAACAAACTCTTCTTCACATCCAGCCAGGCGATTCAATATGCTAAAGCCCCACATTACGACATTCGTAACTCCTTATCTTTAGCGAAACAAACATACTCTAGATCTTCTCTCTATATGAATTAATTTACCTGTAAGTTTTCTAGGCTCTGGAATAATTTACTTCAAACTATCCGTATGTTATTTCCAGAATATATAATTATTATTATTATTATTATCTAGTTGGGACATTAACGTACGTTTATCATATTTGGTGATAAGTTTTAGCAAGTATATTAATTATAAGAATTCCAAATGGTAATATGTATATATCACATGATCATATCAATAATGAAGTATCGAAATAACTATTCTTGTTAATCACTCATGCCTAGTCTTTAATTATCTATCGTAATGTCCAGTTAATAATTCAACTCATCAACAATATATTTACTCAAATGCTTATAAGTAACTGTTATTGTGAAGTATAATATTTTTTTTTTAAAAAAAAGAAACTTTGGCATGATATGCAGAATACAAAAGTAACATGACAAGTGGAAAAAAATGTCTCATTTCTTACAAATTTCATAACTGGTTTTTACATGATGACAGAATCACACGTAAAAATTAATCATAAAATGTAACATAATTACATAAATCATCGATAATATTTATCAACTATTCTATCACATAATGATGTTATTGCCTAATAAATAGGGTAAGACAATCTGAACGAATTATCAATACAGCACAATGAACTATTCTCCTGAAAGTATATCTGATACTTCAATGGTATAACCTTATAATTCTCAGTGATAAAGTACATATAGCTTAATGTTCAGTCCTTAGAGTTATTGCCGAATAGCGTTCGAAAATATATATTCCTCTAGTATATCATACTTATAAAATGGAAACCATTTTTCGATTTATCCAGATAGCAACTTGGAAACAACAAACAAGTATTTCGTTCCACAAAAATGAGAAGGGACAGAAGGAATGAGAACATTTTAACTATTTTTATCTAATAAGCAGTGAAAAGTTTATAATCTTTAGGACAGGAATATCAATGGATTATGTAGTCCTCGAGGTGAATGAAATCCTTTATTTATAGGAAGATACAATAACTTTTCTAGGGCTATTATTTAACATTTGATAAATCATGTTTCCTCATTACCACAGAGAAGAATATTCATCATGGGTTGTTTAACACATTGTTTCATAAGAATACAATTATTCCTTAGGACTTCATAGTATATTAAAATTAGTTTAGTTTTGGGCATGAAAGAAAGGGCTATGGGATAAAATGCGGAAAAAAATTCCTATGATAATCCTAATTAGACATAGTTAAACTTTTTCCTGAAAAGTTATCAACGTGTTCACGACGAAAATCGTTTGTACATACTTTTAGTGGGAACAATATTCAAGGTGTGCATGACTATGCTGTTTTACTTTTTACCTTATAGAAGTCATTAACCTTTTGAAATTTTCTTACAAATCTTCAGTTTAACGACGTAGCTAAGTTATTGGACCATATTATTAATAATAAGAATTCAGAAAATTAAACTCCGCCTGTAGCTCCTCCAGGGGCTACTGCCGGTCCCAAGCCCGGGTAAAGGAGGAGGGTTGGGCATGGGGTTAGCGACCCCATCCCGTAGAAAATCAACTCGCTAAAAAAACGCTAACCAGAAAAAATCATTCAAACCTTTCAAACTCTGCCCTGGGAGTAGAAGGAAAAATGACGTCTCATGATGAAAGCCGAGTTCATTCGGAAGTCATGAGGCCGATGCACCTTCTTACAACCAGAGCGACAATTTTTATAGGTACATGGAATGTCCGGACAATGTGGGAGACCGGAAGAGTCTTCCAAATTTCTGCGGAAATGAGGAAATACAACCTGGAAGTGCTTGGAATCAGTGAAACACATTGGACGCAGGTTGGACAACAACGACTGTCTTCAGGGGAACTTCTGTTATACTCCGGTCATGAAGAAGAAAATGCCCCACATACACAAGGAGTGGCACTGATGCTGTCTAGAAAAGCACAAAATGCACTTATAGGATGGGAATCTCATGGACCGAGGATCATCAAAGCCTCCTTCAGAACAAAGAGAGAGGGCATTACAATGAACATCATCCAATGCTATGCGCCGACCAACGACTACGATGAAGACGCTAAAAACCAATTCTACGATAGGCTGCAGTCAATCTTCGAGAAGTGCCCAACCAAGGACCTGACCATTCTAATGGGAGATTTCAATGCCAAGGTTGGAAAGGACAACACTGGATACGAAGACGTCATGGGACAATATGGACTGGGAGGAAGGAACGAAAACGGTGAGAGATTTGCAAACCTATGTGCCTTCAATAAACTGGTCATAGGTGGCACCATATTCCCACACAAAAACATACACAAAGCCACTTGGATTTCACCGGATCACACTATACAAAATCAAATCGACCATGTCTGCATCAACAAAAAGTTCAGGAGGACGATGGAGGATGTGAGAACCAGAAGAGGAGCTGATATAGCATCCGATCACCATTTGCTGGTCGTCAAGATGAAACTAAAACTCAAGAAGCACTGGACAACGGTGCGGACAACATCACAAAAGTTCAACACGGCCTTTCTTCGAGATGCTGACAAACTCAACAAATTCAACATAGCCCTCAGCAACAGGTTCGAGGCCTTTCATGACCTACTCAATGGAGAGGGAACCACCATAGAGAGCAGCTGGAAAGGTATCAAGGAGGCAATCGTTTCAACATGTCAGGAGGTTCTGGGCCAAAAGAAGCACCATCACAAGGAATGGATCACTGTTGGTACACTGGATAAAATTGAAGCAAGGAGGAACAAGAAGGTAGCAATCAATATCAGCCGAACAAGAGCAGAAAAAGCCAAGGCACAAGCCGAATACACAGAGGCAAACAAGCAAGTGAAGAGGAGCATCAGGACCGACAAACGTAAATATGTGGAAGATTTAGCGATGACAGCGGAAAAGGCTGCAAGAGAGGGAAACATGAGACAACTGTATGATACAACAAAGAAACTTGCTGGAAATTACCGTCAACCAGAAAGACCAGTGAAAAACAAGGAAGGCAAAGTAATCAACGATATTGAAGAACAACGAAACAGGTGGGTAGAACACTTCAAGGAACTCTTGAATCGACCAGCTCCACTGAACCCACCCAACATCGAAGCAGCACCCACAGACCTCCCAATCGATATTGGCCCACCAACAATTGAAGAGATCAGCATGGCCATTAGACAAATCAAGAGTGGCAAAGCAGCGGGACCAGACAACATCCCGGCAGAGGCACTGAAAGCAAATGTAACAGCAACTGCCAAGATACTCCACATCCTCTTCGGTAAGATTTGGGACGAAGAACATGTACCAACAGACTGGAAAGAAGGACTTCTCATCAAGATACCAAAGAAAGGCGATCTGAGCAAGTGCGACAACTACAGAGGCATCACTCTCCTCTCAATACCAGGAAAAGTCTTCAACAGAGTATTGTTAAACAGGATGAAGGATTCCGTGGACGCTCAACTTCGAGATCAACAAGCTGGATTTCGTAAGGATAGATCGTGCACAGATCAAATCGCAACTCTACGTATCGTTGTGGAACAATCAATCGAATGGAATTCATCACTGTACATCAACTTCATCGACTACGAGAAGGCATTTGATAGCGTGGACAGGACGACACTATGGAAGCTTCTTCGACACTACGGCGTGCCTGTGAAGATAGTCAACATCATACGGAACTCCTATGATGGACTAAACTGCAAAATCGTCCACGGAGGACAACTCACCGACTCGTTCGAGGTAAAGACCGGTGTTAGGCAAGGTTGCCTACTCTCACCCTTTCTCTTTCTCCTGGTGATCGACTGGATTATGAAGACGGCAACATCTGGAGGAATGCACGGGATACAGTGGACAGGCAGGATGCAGCTTGACGATTTAGACTTCGCGGATGATCTGGCTCTTCTATCACAAACGCAACAACAAATGCAGGAGAAAACGACCAGTGTAGCAGCAGCCTCAGCAGCAGTAGGTCTCAATATAAACAAAGGGAAAAGCAAGACTCTCCGATACAATACAATATGCACCAATCCAATTACACTTGACGGAGAAGCTTTGGAGGATGTGGAAATCTTTACATATCTGGGCAGCATCATTGATGAACACGGTGGATCAGATGCAGATGTGAGGGCGCGGATCGGCAAAGCAAGAGCAGCATACCTACAGCTGAAAAACATCTGGAGCTCAAAACAATTGTCAACCAACACCAAGGTTAGAATTTTCAATACAAATGTCAAGACAGTTCTTCTGTATGGGGCAGAGACGTGGAGAACTACGAAAGCCATTATCCAGAAGATACAAGTGTTTATTAACAGCTGTCTACGCAAGATACTTCGGATCCGATGGCCAGACACTATCAGCAACAAGTTACTGTGGGAAACAACAAACCAGATTCCAGCGGAGGAAGAAATCAGGAAGAAGCGCTGGAAGTGGATTGGGCACACTTTGAGGAAATCACCCAATTGTGTCACAAGACAAGCCCTCACATGGAATCCTGAAGGTCGAAGGAGAAGAGGAAGACCAAAGAACACATTACGCCGAGAAATAGAGACAGACATGAGAAGAATGAACAAGAACTGGAAAGAACTAGAAAAGAAGGCCCAGGACAGAGTGGGTTGGAGAAAGCTGGTCGGCGGCCTATGCTCCATTGGGAGTAACAGGCGAAAGTAAGTAGTAAGTAAGTAAGAAGATTAAAATTTGGCAGAACACAAAGAGTGGATGCACCTGAGACATTGCACACGATTTTGAGCCATGTCATTCAAGGTCTCTAACCATCGATGGCTATCTTCTCGTGGATCCCAACCAGGCAGTCTACACCTATCAAGGTATCTAGTTTCAGATGGGTTGACGTCTTTAAAATCGTTCACTTTTATCATTCCACAAAGATATTAATTATACACGGAAATATTTTCGATATGCTTGGATTAAACATTACGAAGCAAAGTAACACAATGAAATACGTATCGCGAAAAGGTTTATTATCAATCCTAATGAAATTTAGTGAAATATAAATTCTTCTACGTATCTGTTGTATCCCGTGAAGAATTATGGATGGTAACTTTGAGAACTATTTATGAACCAATATGATATGTATATTTCCTATTGTATAATTGCTAAGTAACTTAACTATTCATATTCATGTTTCTTTTATTATAAGCTTGATTTTGACCCATAGACTATTATTATACGATTTACCATTATTCAGTTATACTCAGTCTATTAATTACTGTTCCCCCTATTCACAACCACATTTCGTCAAATCTTGTACAAATGTTATTTTCTATTTGATAGTACAATGTGGTCAGTTTGTTTGGCATATAACCCCAGTATATTTGAGAATAATGATTCATACCACAGAGGCTGTTCTGAACTTAACTATCTGGGCTAGGCAGCAAGCAGGACTGATAAGAACTCAAGACTGCTCATATGGATATTGTGCATCATTGGGCGATCAATAAAATCACTGTTCTCTAATAGGCGAGCCAATCGATATAACAGTATCATAACGCTTCATGAACATAAGAACTACTTCAGTAAGTATCAAGAAAGAATGTAACGCAATAGATTTTCTCTGTAGAACTATCTTTAAATCAGTTTCTAACGTTGATGAGATGCTTACAACAGAAGTAATAGAAAAGGCAAAAGGCATTCATATAAATAGGAAATGAAAATCAACGTTCAAACTGGACAAATTACAATGATTTACACAGATTAATTTTTAAATGAAAATGCATTATTGATTTACTTTTATTTAACCTAAAAAAAAATATATCATTTTGTATATTTCACATACTTGTGAGGCATACCAGGTGCAGGACTTTGATCCATTTTGACTAGGGCAACAAGATTGCTAAGTGTTCTAACTGTTGTACCAGACATAAATGGCCAACCAGTTATTCCACTGATAATAGGGAATATAATTTGTAATAATACCAAATCCATAACAAAAATATTTGGTTTCACAGCTTTATTTTTCATTGCTGTTAAACTTTTTTATAGAGAAATAAAAAAAGATCATACAATGAAAAGTGAAGTATATAATAAATAAGGAATATCATCATAAAATATAATTGCACAGATTACTTAATGGAAAAGATTTAGTAAATCACTCTTGATCGTTTCATTTCCATTTAAATTGTTGGTTATTTGATTTAAAAGTCAAACCAATATTGTGATATTTGAGACGATGATAAACTAAACATTAGATTGAATGATTTCTCATATTTTTATGTCAGTCAGTCGGTCAGTCACAATGTAGAACTTCGTACGTACATACATCAGTTCGAGTTACAATACCACATCAGTACAGAGATACAGTTGTCGTTTATTCAAAGAGTATAATCCAGTGAAATATGTTTGAAGAGAGAAAAAAGAAAGGGACATCAAGAACTCAGGAGATTAGAATTCGGGAGAACACAAAGAATGGATGCACCTTCGCCATTGCAAACGATTTTGAGCCATGTCATTCAAGGTCTCTAATTATCGGTTGCTATCGTCTCGCGAATCCCAACCAGGCAGTCTACACCTACCAACATGGCTCGGTCCAATTGTCAGTGACTTCATGGATTTGTGCCACGTTTTGGTCTGGTCGTCCCTAGCTTTCTCTCAATCCACTCGTACACCATAAAACATTGCACGTCGGGGCAATCGGTGTCCCACTGATAATAATTTATTTTTCAACTGTGAATGTTAAAACATTAAACAGTAAAGTAACAGTAATGATTAATCTAGTCAAAAATATATGTTTTGTTGCATTCAGTTGATAGATATGAATTGATTACATGCAAGAGGTAGTTGTAAAAATCGCTTCTTTTGTTAAAACGATTCTAACATAATTTAATATTATTTATCATTGTTTTTGCTATCATGCTAGGTAGACTTTCTTTTATAACTAGAATCCAAGAATAATGAATAAATATGTTTCGTTTCTTGTTAACAAAATAAAAGTTGATTAATGAAAAATTGTTTCTATACTTCTGCATTCAAAAGGTATACACCGTAAAAATCAATTTATGAAGATTTGCTACTCTGTTACAGAGAGTTATCATTGAACCACTTAGTGAAATTCTGAATTTTGATGAACATCTATAGCTGATTGATCTATAGTTGCTTTGATAAACGCTTTCATAAATAATACTATAATTCAGTCCCTATTTGCATAAATTTAAGAAATTTAGTTTAGGTTTCAGTCATGTAACATCACTGTGCAACTGATGTTACATTAGAAGGGGGTTTTGTGGAGATTTTAATAATTTTATATAGTTGAGATCATGAGTCAATTGAAGCTGGACCGCCATGAAAAACCTGGAAGCACTGAACGGTCGTTTCATCCTATTGTGAGGCTCCTCGGCAGTGCACATTAACATTAACTCCTTTAGATGCCGGCTGAGTGATCTAGAAGCTGAGCGCTCTCGCGCGAGACTGATTAGATCTGGGTTCGAATCTCTCGCGGCGGGATCGTGGATGCGCACTTTTAAGGAGTCCCACAATAGAACGAAACAGCCGTCTAGTGCTTCCAGGTTTTCCATGGTGATGTTACATTGTTCGAAATTCAAAGAAAACTATCTGACTTGTGAGACATGCCTTAAACCCTGAATTATATTATGTTACATTGATTATAGAATTTTTTAGATCCATTTTAGAGATGAAGGCAAGTAATACTAGATGGATACCTCATATCTACTCTACAGAATAGAAAATTTTGGATAACAGTGAATTCTTGTTAAATATTCTTCGAAAATACTACATTGAACTCTCAAAAGAGATTGAGTACAATATTAATTTTATTCTTATTAAATTTGAATTATTTATTGATAATATTTGCACTCTAAGTTTTCTCTCTACTTTTGATTTACAAAATTATCATTTCATCAGTTATCAGAAGAGGTTTTTTGTGGAGATTTAGTATTTTTATAATTGAAAACGTGAGTCAATTGAAGCTAGGATGCGCACTGCTTAGAAGTCCCATAATAGGACGAAACGGCCGTCCAGTGCTTTTAGGTTTCCCATGGTTGTCTAGCTTCAATTGACTCATGCTTTCAACTATTAAAATTAGTTGTTATAAGCATTAAGTTTATGAATCATACATATGCAAACAAAATACACACCATGAGAAAGAGAGTCCAATATTGATATGACAAACCGTTAAAAAATTACATCAAATAAACACTGAATTAGGACAAAAATATATTTAATAAACATAATGATTCTTTATATAAATAACAATAATATATTCCTAGTAATGTCTTACATCAATTGGCGCCCAATTACTGTAAAACCATTCACTCTAATTTAGACGAAAGATCTTAAACATTCTTCATATAATTGTGTCTTGTATGTAAAATAGTACAAATTTTCAAACTATAGCTTACTATTCAAATTAGTATTGTTTGCTTGAATCTTCCCATCGATGTGTTAGGACTGCAAATGGTCACTCTCTAATTGGCATATGTGCATACTGTGCGTATTGCCTCGATATAGCCTAAATTCACAAGCATGATAAGCAAAGATGGATAGTGGCTAGCAGTGGAATGCACGTTTCGTCCTGTTTGAGACTCGTCAGCAGGATGTACCTGCATCTCAGAGTTGATGTTCACTCCGTGACTCGAACCCAATACCTTTCGCTTCAAACGCCATCGAGTTGTGAATTAAGGCTATATCGAGGCAACACGCACAGTAAGCACATATGCCAATTGAAGACTGACCAGTTGCAGTCCTAAAGATTCAAGCAAAAAATACCAAGTGAATTTAAACTTCACCTCATTGCACAAGCAAGTGGCTAGCAGGACTCAGTAACCGAGTAGATAACTTGATGGCTTTTGAAGCGAAAGTTACTGGGTTCGAGTCCCAGAGTGACCAATAAGTCTGAGATGCAGGTACATCCTTCTGACGAGTCCCAAATATGACGAAACGCGCGTCGTGGATTCCATTGCTAGTTACTATCCATCCTTGCTTGAAGCTTACTATTTCATAACTATTCAAATCAGTAAACCACGTGAATTAAAAATTTAGGTAAATAAGTGACTAGTATTGATTATTGTATATAGAGACGATTTATTTCAACACTGTTACTAATCATCATCATCATCATCATTATTATTATCGTTAATTCAACAAAAACTTATGCTATACAGACATGGAATGTAAATTTTGTTAAGAAAAACAATGTATGATAGATAAAAGAAAGTAAGAAAAACTACCATCACTAATTTGGGTGATAGGTTTGTTTTGGAATAAAAGAAAAAAAACAATGAAGAGAATATAAAAAAGATGAGAAAATTAATTTTATTTAGAAAATACAGTAAATGTATGTGTATATGTTTCTTTTTGAGGTTTATTATCATTTACCAGATTAGCAACAAAAAGCAAAACAAAAAACTATGTTAAATATGTTTCACTCTAACTAAAAACCATACAGAATTATACCCTCAAGAATTCAAAGTCAGGTAGATTTAAGAAATTATGAAACTCTTACAGAAGGTGATATACTGAGGATAATGAGCTGAATAGTGTTTGAGACCTCATGGTGTTCAGCTATTCTTACCCAGTATAGTATGCTCACTCTCAGACTAACTCACAACTTGGCTTTCATTAATCATGGCTTATAGTTAAAATGGAATAGGAATATATTTTGATTTTAGAAACTTTTGCTGCTATGATAATTGGATGATAGAGAAAATATTTGGCTCGAGTAAATATCATTGGTGATATTGTGTTTTCAGAGCTGTATGTGAAAGTTTAGTAATCGACCTGAATGACTTATTTTACTTGAAACATAAGTAAGCATTTTAGAGTGATTCTGCGTATGTTGACCATGTTATTAATTAGTTATTTTTTTAACATCTTGTTATCGTTATGTTTATTCGGATACCGAATGTTTGCTATGCTAACCTGATCTACATTTACATGATTTTTTGTCCGTGTCCTCGATAAGTAAAAGTAGGAATCTTTCTTGATGTGCTTAAGAATTTCAGATTTCAGCCAATGAAATAGAACTTTTAGTATTATGAATATTTTAACAGTAAATACATCATATTTTGATGAAAGCTTTGGAGATTGAACTGAAGTATCTGCGTTCGTTCACCCAGAAAGAAAATTCTTTCAATTTATTCACCATATTAAATGTGTTTATATGATCGTAGTAGGCATTGTAATAAGGAATACTAAGGAATGTTAGCTGTAGAAAATCTATCGATGACTTGACGCAAAGTGTTGATTTGAAATACTTCATTGCATCAATGGTGACTGGTAAAGTTCTAGAAATCATGTAACTCAGTGATCACAAATATATACTTACCTCACTAACAAGTAAAATGTTCTTCGTAGTTTTACTTCATATAGCCTTAGTTTCTGTTTATCCGTATGTTGTTATTCATTTTCTGTGATTTCATTTTATATTGTGTCCCTCGACTTCACAACGAAAAAAACTATTAATTATCATTCAAGGAACTGTTGGTTAATTGTAAGTAATCTGAGAAAAGTTCTGGTTAACCCAACTTTCACGCTAGTTGATATTCGTCTGCAAGGAATGTTTAAAACCCTTGGGAAACTGATTCTGTTCATTGGTTTCGAACCCACCTTACCCAATGTCACAAACAGGGACATTGCCGTTAAGTTATTGGAGCTGTTAATGAGCCACTGACATAAGCCTTGAATGATTATACAGACTGATCACAATGTATTGTTTATTTAATCATTAGTGACTATGGAGTTCCCGAGATTTTATGGATTAATACGACTACTGGCCACAGTGAGAATGACTTACAGAATTTGATCAGTTCTTTAGATTAGAAAAACATCATATTACTCACTGTTCAGAAATCACTCAATACAACAAAACACAGTACTACGATTGATAAAAATTTATTATATTTATTAATCATTTCAATACTTACCCATTCAAAGCTGCTTCTGTAAATATAATAATAGCCAATGCTACACCGATAGCTATTGAAGTTCCATGAATAAGTGTTGGTGCAGCTCTACTATAATCTTGTAAACGTGAAAAATCCGGTGGATTAACCCATGTCGATGCATTAACTTGATTTGATGGTGGTATATTTACAGTAGGTAAATTATAACCTTTAAAGAATATTCTTTCCAATCCAGTAATAAGTAACATACCAAGTGGAACATTTAAAGCACCTAGAAGTTTTCTTATCTATACATACACATTAAACAGAAAAAATTGGAAAAAAATTGTTCACAAATTAGTTTTTTTAGAAAAAAAAATATACAAAAGAGTGTGGGTGTTTATTAATAGCTTCTCATTTTGTTAGGATGGAACATCGATTAGCATTAATACCAACAAAAAAAAAACGAACGAATTCTTGTTTAATTTCCTGATAGAGATAAAAAGTAATTACTATCAATAGGTAATCGTTAATGATTAGTACAAATTAAAAATGATTGTAACAATGAACTATTGTTGAATTGAGAAATATACTAAATAGTTATTTAGATTTAATTTTACATCGCTTCAATGAAGTATATTAACAATTCAGTTAAGTGCTATGGCGCGAGACTCGTAGGTCCTGTGTTCGAATCTCGTGAGTGCGGGATCGTGGATGCGCACTGCACTGCTGAGGAGTCCCACAATAAGACGAAATGGTCGTCCAGTGTTTCCAGGTTTTCCATGGTTGTTTAGCTTCAATTGACTCATGATTTCAACTATGAAAATTCTAAACAGGATGAAATATAATGCATTTGAAAATACTACTGATTGCTTTGTGGGTTATAGATTTGATCTCGTATAAGGTGATATAATGGTTTGCTAATGAAAAGATATGAACAAATAGAAAACAGATATCTTATACTCCATCATTAATAATCGTTATCTAGTTGATTTTTTTCTAAGATATTAACTCTAGATACTTTCAGTTATAAATTTGATTGGTTTAATCTAATTTCAGTTGTGCTAAAAATGATTACGTTTGTTATACAATGATAAACTTCCTTACATTACTTCATAACTTTGATGAGTCAATAGAAAAAAAAACTGAATGCACTTGATAAATAGTTGATGATTTAATGAATGAATTAGTTACAGTCAAAAATCTCAATTTTTGTTTAAAGAAATAAACATTTTATTTTATCCATTCAAACTTTTACAAAATGAAATCTATTTTTAAATAGTTTTCATTGTCATAAAGGGGTTTTTGTGGAGACTACAACAATTTAGTAGTTGAGTTCATGAATCAGTTAGAGCTAGACCATTATGGGAAACCTGAAAGCATTCGATGGTCGTTTCGTCCTAGTATGGAACTCCTCAACAGTGAGAATCCACAATCATGCTCGCGGGATTCGTATCCAGGGCCTTCGGTTTCACGCGCGATCGCCTAACCTCAAGGCCATCAAACTGACATTCAACTGTGTTAATGCTTAACTTTAACCAATCCACGAGATTGTCCCATTGTCCATCATCGTTTCCATAGTGTTACTATCTCACGACAGACTTGGTTAAACTCCACTGGTCACGGCTTCTCACTAGAATTCCAGAAAATACCTCATGAAGCCAATCGATAGTGAACATATGATGACTGTTATCAGAAGGGGGTTTTGTGGAGATTGTGGTAATTTAATAGTTGAGTTCATGAGTCCAGGTTTTCCACGTCTTTCTAGCTTTATTCGACTCAATTGAACTTAATTGAATTCAACTATTAAGTTTTCATTCTGTTTGCTAATAAATATTTATTTTCATGATTGTAGTTCTTCTATGAGTTATGTGATATACATATCAAGCAGAAAAATTTACAAATAAATTGGTTGGGTAAAATATCTTTGGTCACTGTTTAAGTCCAAACGTTAAGCCTGACTGACAAAACAAGACAATTTCAGATTTAGTTGTTACAGAAAAAAAAGGTTTGTCAAAAATTGTTTCATTTTGAAAAAAAACAACAACAGAACTAGTATTTTCATTTATACTCATCCCATCCTCACATTTTTTGAACTGATTAGGCTTCCTGTTATTTTAAGGGGGAAAATTGTTAGTCCTATATGATTTATAAATCCAGTTCATTGAGGGAACTGATTTAGCCATCTCATCCATTTTATGCGATGCAAGTTTCTTCTTATCAATTCATTTTTTTAAGTGCTAAATTTGTATCAGTATCATTTTAATAGATGCAGTTGTTTAGTATTCTAATGTTTAACAGCAGACGTGATAGAATATCATCATTACAGTTGTTGACTTTGATGAAATAGTATCCTATTCTTCATTGAAACAAAATAAATTCTTGTTGAGTGAGACCATAATTTATTGACTAATCAATTAGATTTAGGATAGTGAATTTTGGATTTTGACAGGATGTTCATTCATCCATGTAGCTAATTAGCACTTTGACATTGAAGTTTGTATCACTTCCTTATGAAAACCTTAATTTCAATTCTTAATCTTAACTCCTAACTCCGATTACTAATCCTAACTCTACATACTAATTTCTAACCCTATTTTGAACTTAAAAAGTAATTGGAATTTCTCAAAACTATTCAAATATTGTCCATAAATTAAACTCGCACCCTTAACTGTCACATTAACCAGTAGAGCACATGTTGTTTTTCAAATAGCTATGAACTGATTAGGATTAACGTTGACGGTATGAACCGTCTAAGAAAAGACACAAAAGAGATTTAAAATTATGGAAGCAAAAAATATCTAATACCTAAAAAGGACTTACATTCCTTCTAAAGTAATTTCCACGTTTTAACTGAGCAAGTATTAAACAGAACTGGAGCATTATAAATGCTAAAAATAGTGTAACTCCAGCTACTGCTAATTTTTGATAATAAGCCATTCTAGACATTGGAGTGTTATCTTTAGGTTTAGCAGGAATCAACTATAAATGTATAAAATAAACATTGATAATTACTGTTATTATTATGATTAATAATAAACATGATAGATTAAAATAAATGTGAAAAGGTATTTGGTTTGATTAAAAAGGAAGATCTTTGTATTCACCATGAAACGATCTAATTTCATGTATGCAAATTCATGAGACGTAGTGATTTACTTATTTCATAAACCTAATCGTAGGAGCTAAAACTTCTAGTCATTTCTGTTAGGTGGATTAATAATGATTAAAAGTGGTCTATATTGTTGATGACCTGTCCAACCAAACAATAAGATTTACAGTTTAAGTCAATAAACAGATGGTGATTCATGTACTCGGCTTTGAGCCACATACTTATGATATTACTCAATTGTTCAAGCTGAATCAGAGGGTGTTCAAGTATTTAAATTTTTAAGGCAATATTTATTGTAATCAAACTTCTAAACGAAAAAATAGCTCGAGAATATTAAGGCAATGGTGGTTGGGGAATTTATGGAGTCGATTTGGTCCTGAAGAAATTAAATCTTCAAAGATCTAAGAATTCTCTAAAAATTAGTATGTTTTAACAAGAAACAAACAACTTTTCAATCATTCTTCACCCACAAATACATTATAAAGACATATGATTCATAAAGTTGTGTCACTATTTCTTACTTCAGACAAGCAAACTTACCTTCACTATGTCAGCGATTTACTCTAAACGGTACCTTACACAACATTTATTGTAGATACGACTAGAATTAATCACAAATACGTATTGCGTCATGTAGAGTACTGGAGACTAAAATATCTGTATACTATGAGCAGAGATGGATGGTGACTGTTGGTGGACTTGTCGGCTGGATGTAACTCCATCTCAGAGTTGATGTTCACTTCAGGACTCAAAATCAGTACCATTCACTTCAAATTCCATCACCTTATTCACTTAGCTACTGAGTCCAGTTAGCCACTGGCTTACGCAATCGAGTGAAGTTTAATTCATTTTTGTATTGGTTGTTTGAATCTTCTCATTGACGTTCGGGACTGCAAGTGGTCAGTCTCTTATCGGAATACGTGCATCCTGTGATGATTGCACGAAACACACGTCCTGGATTACACTGCTAGCTACCATCCATCTCTACATATGGTACTTGTGATTTAACGAAATATTGAGGCAATCCGCACTGTATGCACATATGTCAATTAATTTCAAACGACCAATAAGAAAATCAATCTGTATATTATGTTCCTTCCTGATCTCATGTTGCTACTGTTGACCAGACATACCATGCATATCATATATAAATCAATTTCATATTACTTATTCTCATAGTAATACTCAGTTGTATGCAAACTGAATTTATTAACAACGGTATAACAGCATCAAATACACTGTTATAACTAATCTATAGACCTACATTAATATTGTCCAAGAGTTCGATCACACAAAGAAAAGTATAAGGGAACCAGTGATAGTTAACTGTCTATTAATTTCTTTGTCAGTTGAATGAAATTCTACTCGGCTAGTAAGTTGACCGATATAATGAAGACGTATTGTTTGAACCCAATTATATTCACTAGAAAAATGTAAATTCTTGTTAATGAAATAGTACAAATTTTGAGGTGGTGAAGATTTGTTGTTCAGAAGGATGATTTTTGTTGGGTTGAATTCTTTGGGTCGGATGCTTCAATTCTTAGGCCCTAATTATTTTTCTTGACAAAATTATCAGTAGTACAAACTTCAGATACACGTGAGCAATGAGAGTTTCCTGACATTAATGCAGAAAGTTTATGCTGATGATGTTGTTTAGTAAGACAGCTAAACTACTTATCCCAGCGAAAATAGCTCCCTAAAAGCCCCATAGATCTTATCCCTATGATGAGGAAGTTCTAACCCTAAGCTGACTACTTTAAATATGTAGGTCAAAGACATCATCGCTAAAAATATTGTAAAACATATGGTACCAGTCCCATGGGAAGCTAAACTAGCATTAGTACATATACAACTTTCAATTAAACTGTCACTTTGACCATACAATTGCTAACAATTGCTAAAACTTTCGTTTCGCTACCTGAAGGTATTACCTTTTGTTTCATATCAAAGGTTTAAACAAGTTAAAAGAGTAAATTCTTCCATATTATGAAAGGGAACTGTCTCCTGAAATTAGTGAAATGTCTCTTTAAATTTAGCAGTGTTTTTAATAGTATGTGGCCTTTAAGCAAACAAGAAAATTTCATTAAGTCTAATAAAGTTAAAACATTAAAGGTGGTCAATAATCTTTAGAACACTTCAAATAGAACAATGGGAGGCAGTATCAAGCTAGTTGTCTTCCAAAAATATACTTTCAAATGAGTGTAATTAATACAAAAACAAAATACTGGTCAGTTTTCGTATTACTTAATTGAAGTAACATAAAATGACTTATAGTTGATTTTATGGACAGCATCTTACACGGTGTTGGTATACGGATAAATGATAAATTACACTAGTTGAATTGATCATATGATTTATTTATTGTTGTGACGCATTCTGTGTTTAACAGCAGTTGAGTATTATACAACTTGAAAACGGAGGATTGAGAAAAATGTGTTATTTTAATGGAGTGCATTTTTATTTTTCTCTAAGTCGATCGATAATATGGGGACCAAACTATACAGTATTATTCGTCTAACTAAGATACAAATACCAAAGTGTGAATTCTGAATCATTGGATTTTAGTTCAATGATCCTTGGGCGAAAGTAATTTAGCTCAGCTTTAAAGTCCTGAACTCCTTTCAATACGAGGTCATGCCTGAAATATTCTGAAGGATTCCATCCCAGGACAAAACTACTAGCCTCTATAAAATGTAGACTATTTTTACATTAAATTCATTTAGTATTGTTTGTTTGACTCTTCCCATTGATGTGTTAGGACTGCAACGGGTCAGTCTGTGCATATTGCCTCGTTATAACCTTATTTCACAAGCATTGTAAGCAAAGATGGATAGTGAATAGCAGTGGAATCCAGTTTGACGCGCGTTTCGTCCTATTTGAGACTCATCAGCTGGATTTACTTGTATGTCAGAATTGATGTTTACTCTGGGACTCGAACCCAGTACCTTTCGCTTCAAACGCCATCGCGTTATCCACTCGGCCACTGAATCCTGAATAATTAAAAATCATTTGAAATAATTAAAAAATAAAAATGAAAAACAACAAATCAAACTAATATCAAACCACTTACTAAAAACATTGTAAATAATGCTTTAAGTAAAAAGAAAAATCCAATAAATGAATTATATACTTCTTCTACTGATCGTCTTATATGTTTAGCTATTCCAGATATATTACAACCAACAAATATGAAACCAAATATAGAACAATAAAAAGCACTCCAAAATCTTAATTGTTTAAAATCAACTCCTGTACTCCTTGAAACCTGAAAAAGTAAGAAGAAAAAAGAAAAAAAAATAAAGGAAGTAGGATTAAAAGCATGGATCAAAAGAAAAGGGAACAGATGAAATTCAATTAATTACTGTTATGATATTAATGTAAATATGTATGTGCTGACTAGTTAAGTTTTACTTTATAAGGCTCAATAATGAAATAAACGGTAGCATTTAGATACCTTAGAAACCGTATTTTGTTGAATATATTTGTAAATGAATATATTTTGAGGTTTATAATAGTGAGCAAGGTTTTATTAATGTTATATCGATTGAGTGCGTATGTGCGTGCCCCGTTTGATATACGAAAGTTATGAGATCGCCAATCGGAGAGCAGTGAATTATCGATGGGAGCAATGATACACAATATCCGTATGACCAGTCTTGAATACTTATCAGTCCTGCTTTCTGTCTAACCCAGTCAATTAAGTTCAGAACACCGGTAACAGCCTCTGCAATATGAATCATTATTCTCAAACATACTGGGTTTATATAGCAATCAAACAGACAACATCGTACCATAAAATAAGAAACAGCATTTGTACAAGATTTGGCCAAATGTGGCTGTGAATAGGAGTAACAGTAATTAATGGACTAGGGATAACTCAGGAATGGTAAATCGTGCAGTAATAGTCTATAGTTCAAAATAAAGATAATGATAAGAGGAGCACGAATGCAAATAGTTTGGTTAGTTAACAATCATACAATCAGAAATATACATATCATGTTGGGCCATAAACCGTTCTCAAAGTGATCACTCATAAATCTCCACGGGATATAACAACTAATTTATATGAAAAAGATAAAAAAAAAGATGACAGATTACTTATTCATTGAAATACTGTATTATCACTTGGAGACATCATTTCAGCTGTCTTTTTTTCACAAATCATTCAACAACTAACTTTAATAGTTGAAAGCGTGAGACAATGAAGCTAGACCACCAAGGAAAATCTGGAAGAACTGGACGGCCGTTTCATCCTATTGTGAGACTCTTCAGCAGTGTGCATATAGTGATCTATCGGTCAAGTGCTCTTGCGCGAAACTTGTAGGTACTGGGTTCGAATCTCGCGAGGCGAGGTCATGGATGCGCACTGCTGAGGAATCTCACAATAGGACGAAACGGTCGTCCAGTACTTCCAGGTTTTCCCTGGTGTACTAGTTTCAATAGACTCACGCTTTCAACTATGAAAACACTGAAATCTCCAAAAAAACTCATTCTGATAATAACTAATTTTAAGACTGCATACTTTTTGGTAGATTGTAGATTTTTTTTCACATATTATTTCTAATTCAATCTCAAACAATAAAACTTAGACAGCAAATTAATATATGCTAATTGTTAATATTAATCGTCCTTTGTCGAAAGAAAATATCAATGAAACAGAAAATCAGTTTAGTATATATCTATGAATGAGTAAATAGAACTTTTCTTTAACATTGAGTTTTCGATAAGCAACATTCGACGTCAAGTTTGTTGATTCTTTTTTGTTCTTCAACTTCTACAAAAATATGTGATAAAGCGATCATCAATCTCAATTATGCAGAAAGTTTGTCACGATTCGAATGAATTAATATTAATGTCTCCGACTGAATGATAAAATTTCCAAACTTATTTTAAGCATCAATTTTTCACTTTATTGATTAATATCAATATATGAATAGGATTTACTTACGGTGAATAACACATATCCCATCATATGAAGAAGCGAAGTTCTGAAATCTTGTAAGCACTAACTGTAAACACAAAACAGATTTTACTACTTAATAGTAGAAATGTGATGGGATTTTTTTAACAATATCTTGCTGTGATATTCAAACCCACGTAGCTTATTCTAGCTTCCGGACAGGCAAATTTACTCATTATTCTTGAGCCACATTTTGACCTTGTTAAGTATTCGCTTATCAACCTTGACTTTTTTTAATGTATGTGTGTGTGCGCTGCTTGTCCTACTCATCACATGCAACGCTTGATTAAATCGGGTTGTCTCACACACCTTCTCTACCACGCATCATTTCGTTTAACTTCGTTTCTTTGATCGTCCGTTTGTATCAACGATTGTATGAAATATGTGTATTCGAAATCTATTCTCGTATTTGACCTATTTAATTCCGTTATTTATCAATGCTATTTAAGTCGCTAACTATGTGCGAGGATTGACGATAGGTATAAGTCGATAACGATAATCAATTGATTTGATTGGAAATAGATATCGAACCACTAAAATTCCGGTGCGAATCGAAAATCAATAAGTTCACTCTAATTAGTTCATTGTAAATTGAAAATAGATTGTGAAACGATCGAGAAGATTTATAGCTTCGTAGGACGATTTTGGTGGCGTTACACTCACTAAATTGGAAGTTTTTACTGCTAATGGTTTTTTCTAAGAACGATGGTAAACACTTAAAGATTAAATTATAAAGCTCAGAGAATATAATTTCATCAAAAGTAGACTAATTTATAAACGAAAACGAAAAAAATAAAATTTCCTAGCACTTTTTATTATGTTGTGACAGTAGTATGATCATTCTTTACTGAAATTTGTACTAACTAGGAGAATATTTCGATTATGTCTACAGATATTATACAGTTGAGATCATAAGTCAGTTAGACATTAACATCGTCGGATGCCGACCGACTCAGTGGTCTAGAGGTTAAGTGCTCGAGCGCGAGACTGATAGGTCCTGGGTTCCAATCTCGCGAAGTGGGATCATGAATGCGCAATGTCAAGGAATCTGGCAATAGCACGAAACGGCCGTCCAGTGCTTCCATGTTTTCCATGATGCTTACTTACTTACTTACGCCTGTTACTCCCAATGGAGCATAGGCCGCCGACCAGCTTTCTCCAACCCACTCTGTCCTGGGTCTTCTTTTCTAGTTCTATCCAGTTCTTGTTTATTTTTCTCATGTCTGTCTCAATTTCTCGGCGTAATGTGTTCTTTGGTCTCCCTCTTCTCCTTTGACCTTCAGGATTCCATGTGAGGGCTTGTCTTGTGACACAATCAGGTGATTTTCTCAAGGTGTGCCAAATCCACTTCCAGCGCTTCTTCCTGATTTCTTCCTCCACTGGATGGAATCTGGTTCGTTCTCTCCCACAGTAACTTGTTGCTGATAGTGTCTGGCCGTCGGATCCGAAGTATCTTGCTTAGACAATTGTTAATAAACATCTGTAGTTCTCCACGTCTCCCCCCATACAGTAGAACCGTCTTGACAATTGTATTGAAAATTCTAACCTTGGTGTTGGTTGACAATTGTTTTGAGCTCCAGATGTTTTTCAGCTGTAGGTATGCTGCTCTTGCTTTGCCGATCCGCGCCCTCACATCTGCATCTGATCCACCGTGTTCATCAATGATGCTGCCCAGATATGTAAAGGTTTCCACATCCTCCAAAGCTTCTCCGTCAAGTGTAATTTGATTGGTTGATATTGTATTGTATCGGAGAGTCTTGCTTTTCTCTTTGTTTATATTGAGACCTGCTGCTGCCGAGGCTGCCGCTGCACTGGTCGTTTTCTCCTGCATTTGTTGTTGCGTTTGTGATAGAAGATGTTTTCCATGATGGTCTAGCTTCAATTGACTCATGAACTCAACTATATAAATTACTAAAATCTCCCCAAAACCCCCTTCTGACAATGTCTATAGATAGTTATCATTGATGGAATCTAAAAATCTCATTTTAATCTCATTCAGAACTAGTAGACTGAATGTAACAATATCTCAGTGTTGATGTTTACAATAAAACTTGAACCCAATACGATTCACTTTAAATATCAGTGAACCATATAAAGAAACGTAAAATAGTATAACCATTTGAAAAGATAGAAACAAACATCAATTCTGTTAAATAGAATTTTAGATTAATTTTCAAAATTACTAACTTATAGTAAGGTATCTCATATACTGAAAAGAAAGTTCTTTTTCATTTATTTTGTTTATACTTATAAACATTTTAAGGTCGTACTTATTTCGTTTCAAATAATAGTGAAAGTGACATCAACAAATTTAACGCTTATTACTGTTTCCAGTTGTATCACATTTTGAATAACTTTAATTTGTAGTGGTTCCGGATTATCCTGTTAATATTTTTGACTGAATTTCGATAAGTTTTAATCAGCATATGTGAATATTGTGCAGATTTTCTCAATATATCAATTGTCATAAATGAACTCAGTAGCTAAGTGGATAATACGTTAGACATTTGAAGTAAAAGGTACAGGGTTTAGATCTCGGGGTGAATATCAAGTTAGATCTAGGTACTTCAAAATGAAGAGTTGCAGATGTGACAAAATGCTCGTCCTGGATATCACTCCTAGTCATACCCCATTTATTAAGAATGAATATTTTAGTTGGTGAATGTTTAATAAATATATCCTATATTATAAATGAGTAGTGATTGACGCTACACACTTTGATAATCTGATAGAAAAAACCTTATCACTGTTTGTCATTATTAAACACAGGTATCACAATCTCAGTAGCGGATTAAGCGACAGATCAGCTGCATACAAAATAACAATACATTTAACCAGAAGTGTGTTGTGGGTGGACTAGAAAACGTTTTCAGATATATCGAATGTAAAACAGTGAACTTTGTCACGTTTGACTGATCCTTTAAGAACTAAACGAATTCTATTAATCAAATTGTGATTTGCACATTAATCTAAGTAATTTGACATCACATACACTATATTTATTTGTTAAGTGGTTTAATAGTCGTCTACAGAAATCTCAACCTAAGTTTTATGGTAGCAAGCTCTAGTTAAAAAAGTTTAACTGTAGTCTAGAGGGACACGGATACAAATAACTTAGTAGTAAGGCCTCAGACTGTGGAGGTGGACTACTAAGACTCGAATCCTACAGGAAACACAAGTTCGCTCAAGATTACAGGTAGGAGCTTGCTGTTGAACGCTAACTAGTATGAAATCTAAATCTGGCGTTTCCTTTCAGTTATCTTCAGCGATCTAACATTTAAAATAATCTTTAATAACATCTATCA